GTTGTGAGCATGGGATGGCTGTCCTCATTACCCATCTGTCATGTGGTGGCATGGGCAGGGGAAAGATGTCCTCCCTCTCCCACCCATCGATGCCTGAGTCAGGTGGGAGAGCTGGCCCCAGGCCAGAGGACTGGAGAGTTGTCCCTGTCCCCCACCAGCTGCAACACCTGGGAGAACAGGCCCTGCTCCTCGCCTGGTTAGCAAATAGAGCCAACCCCATTGGCAGAGGTGTGGGTGAGCCAGTCCTGATACTGTAAGCATGGAAAAGCTGTTCCCATTACTCATCCGTCACGTGGTGGCATGGGCAGGAGAGAGATACCCTGCCGCCCATCAATGCCTAAGGCAGGTGGGAGAGTTTCAATAGTGAACAAGTGTGTGTCTGTGTGGGCAGAGGGCAAAGGGGGGGGGTGGCATTCCAGATTCCCATCATCTCTGATAAACGGCATCTCCATCTTCTGGAGAGTAGAGTCTGTGCCCAGGAGAGGGTGGAGGCTGTAAATATACAGGAGGATCAGAACAAAGAGGAAATGTGGAACCTTTGCCCTGCCCCTTCATCTTTACCTTCTAGGCTTCTTTGATTGTGGGATCTGTCACATGGAGTCAATCAACTTTCAAGGTAGGCGAATGAGCTGTCTGGCTCCTCTTACTGAGGAGTGTTAAGCTCCCAGAACTGGCAGGCTCTCCTTTCTCTGTCCTGTCTCGTCTCTCCAGCTGGCAGGCCCTTCCTATAGAAACACACCTAGAGCCCCGCCCAGCCAACCACCCCCAGGAAGCCCACTAAGAACATCTTTTAAAGCAGGAGAATGGCAGTGCCTACCAGGAGGTCTTTCAGGGGCATCCTATCTTTCAGAGGTGGGCCAGAGACTGAGATACACAGGACAATTAAGCCAGGTCCCTGGCCCACTTCGAGTCTCCTCCTAATGGATCTTCCTCCAGCACCTTCGTCCTCCATTGGTTCCTCCTCTAGGCAAGAAGGGTTGGGGCCACAACCTCAAGTCTCCAAAGTGACATTTTAGACATCTGTAGACCCCCAATGCTGTCTCCCACTCTGCTTCAGGCTTCCCTTCTGTATTAACTGCCTGCATTCTGTATTTTTTCCTCTTCCTTTGTCCTGGGTGTGGAGTACGCACAACCATCCCCATGCACCTTTGGATTCTCTGAAGGCAGGAGACCATCTCCTTGGGATGGAGACAAGGGGGCAGGGATGGGTGGAACCTGGGCTTCAAACCTTGGGACCTAAGGATCAACAAAGGCACCAGAGGTACATCTTGTCCCCGGACTTTAGTGAAGGGTCTTGTCTCTTTGCACATGTGAGCAGCAACAGTCTCATAAGCATAAAGACATCAGTGAAGTAAGGATTCTCATCACACCCGAAGACTCCAGTCTGGTACTCTGGCCTCTGTCAAAACTACTGAGCTCACCGTCTCTACCCAGGAGACCAACGATGTAAGTTCTCCAGGCTTCAGTTTGGTCATCTCTAAGATGGATACAACAGCACTCGTTAGGAAGTGAGCAGGGAGTGAACCCTCAGAAGTGTGATTTCTTACCCCCATTTCCTCCGTGCTTGCATTGTATGAGATGTGGCAAGGTGTAATAGACACTCTGCAGCATCTGCACCACTGTGGCAGGGATGGGGGTCCTCAGAGATGCCTTCAACTTCAACCCCCGTCCCCCCCCAGGTTTTCTTGCCTTGCCCCAGCGCCCCAGCGAAAAGGCAAGTGCAAGGTCATTCCCAGCTACTTGTTCTGGCATCTGTGCTGTGCCACCAGCTCCCCAAATGGGGCACCTATTCAGGAAAGCCCCTGGGGGTACTCTGCTCTGAGGGTTGCATGGCTGCTGGATGAGACAGTCAGCTGAGACTGGAGGTCCCAGGGGAGAGGGAGTGTGTCCCTCACACAGTGGTTCCAACACTTAGGCTTCAAGTGAGGCGTTGCAGCCTCATCCCACTAATGGGCGCTTGGAGCCCTTATCCACGCCCCCCCCCCACCTCCTCCACTGCAATCCTCTCTGGCTTTAACCACTAGACCTGTCACAGCTGCCTTCGAGGGAAGGGTTTCACAGCTCGCACAAGAGCACTTCTAAGCTGGAGACCTCGCCCTTTCCGAGCCTGTGTCCTCACCTATGATGCAGGAGCACGGGATCTCAACTCCCCCAATAGTCTTGGTAGAAATCTGAGGATTAGAGTCATGGACCACTTCAGAAAGGCCAGCAGCTATTGTCTGCTAGGTATCTATGCTTTCACAAATGGGGAAATGAGGGACCAGAGCTAGAGATACATTTGCTTAAGTTCACAGTGCAGCACAGTTGAGCTGCAGGTGCCAGATGGCCTGCCTTGGGAAGTTTGTCCCCTTTAAGAGTTTTGACTTCTCCATTTTTTTTTTACATGTAGTAGTTTCTCCATTTGGCTCCCAGACCAATCTCTTTGCCTCCCTAAGTGTCTAAAAGGGGGCAGGGCACCTGACACATCCTAACCCCATTTTGCTAGTAAGCTGACTCCTGAGCCAAGGTCCCCAATATCCGAGGATCCCTCTGCCAATAACTATTCTGTACGCGATGTTTCTATTCATTTAGGGGATTGAAGACAGCTTTTTACAAAAAGAGAAGTTCAGAGCCTAGTTATTCCAGAGCTGCTGTTAACTTCAGGTCCTTGCCTCATTCCTGTCAAACCTGCTCCAGTTTGAAGTCCTCCAGGGTCATGTGTAGTGATTTCCAGTGATTGCTTCTGAGTTCTCCAATGCGGACAGTGTGAGGGATGAGGAGAAAGGGTCACAAATTACAGGACAGGATGGCAGGCACAGCTGGGGACTCAGTTCTAAAGCCTGCTGTGTGGCTTCTGCCTACTTTGCTTCCACCATGTGCCCTAGTGTCTTGGCTGGAAATAGCGTGAGCTTGCCGGCAGCATCCTCAGCTCTGGGGAGGTGGGGGAATGAGGTCTCTATAATTAAGCGTTGCTCATTCTTCCCCCCATCTCTATCTGGGATGAAGCAGCTGGCAAGTCTTGTGTCTGCACACTGCTGTATGCCTTGGCTCTATTCTTGCCTGACTCTGGGCTGTATTCTGTCTGCTGCACCTACTGCCTCATGGTCTGGTCACCTTGCTACCTTCCCCTACCCAGGTGGAGGAAAACATCTAAACCTCAGGTGGGATAATGATGCCCAAACCCTACAGCACTCCTTCCGCAACCCCCATCCTTTTCAAGAAGCTCTTCTTGTTTCCTTATTGGTGATGACTTAGGGACAACAGGGGGAGGGACAAGGCTGCAATGCTGAGCAGCAGCCTGGGATTCCAAATCCACTGGGAACGTCTTTTACTGTTGTCTTCCTTCACCTCCTTCTTTCACCCAAGGCAAAACTCGATGGCTATCCCAGGTGGCAGTGGGACCCTTGAGGACTGCTCCATATTGTGGCCCAGACTTCTGGCAGAGACCAACACACAGTAGGAAATTAATATGCTAAATATTTAACAGTGGTGACTTTTCACCCACAACTCTGGAATACTTCTACAGATGCATCTGTGTTCCCCCATCGCTCTCCCTGGGAGCTCCGAGGGGATGCCTTCGACACCTGTGACTTCCTGCACTAAAAAAAAGGTTGTATAGGAAATCCCAGACTGTTATAGCAATGCTGGTTGTAACACCGGATACTCAGGAGGCTGAGGAAGGAGGCTTGCAAGTTCAAGGCCTGATCAGGCTACAGTAAGTTCAAGGTCATTCTGGGCCACTTAGTACTTAGTGAGGACGCTGCCTCAAACAATTAAACAAAAGTAAAAGGAAGATGAGTGAGTGGCTCAGTGGTAAAGGACCTGCCTAACTCGTGCAAAGACCTCGGTTCAGTCCCCAGTATGAAAATAAAATCATGCCCAGGATGAAGAACCGTCACTGAACTGGCAATTGAACTTTAATTTAGTCAGCAAGTGTTGGCTGAGCACTTACCAACTCCAGGCACAATGGGTTAAGAAAATGATGCCTCTCAGGGCACCCCACCAGCTAGGCAAGGTAGACTGGCCCAGCAAGTGTCTAGATTCTGGGTTCTGAAGAACCCTGACCTGAGATGGAGCCCTACCCTCTGCTCAGCTTTTGGGGTAGCTCTTTCTTGCCACTGCACACTGTTGTCAAACACGTGGTGAGCAAGTAGAATGTCAGATTCCAGTCTCCCCATTCAGACTCAGCTTCCTCAGAAGTTGGACTCTAGTCCTGACAAAAATTCACTCATTCACACTCTCAGCTTGTGATCTCTGCTAGGTGCAGCGACTTCCCCGGGAACTAGACAGAGCCCTGCCCAGGTTGTGGGACAGGTGGCCCCGGAAGCCAGTTGACTTGCTATGGTGCGCTGAAAATTGTTCTGGCTGTTAGTGCAGTTTCAGCCTGCTGGCCAGGTCTTTGCCTTCCCTAAGATGATTTTACTATAGCCCTGTGCGTGAGCTGACCGGCTACCCCAGCAGGATCTTCTGAGTTGCAGTGTCCCTGCCTGACTTGTTTTCCTATGTTCTGATGTAGCCTTTCAGGGCCTGCAAAGACCCTGCAAATGTTCCCAAGCCCCGAGAGGCTCTGCCCATTTAATGTGAGAGCCACATCCAACAGGGCTTTCCCATCTGACCTTCTAGACTCCCGCCATAGTGGGTGCAAGAAGAGACTTCTGCCACATAGACAAAGGAAACTAGAAATTTCTGGCAGGCATACCAAGTCACACACCTCTCCCTTTTGTCCCCTTCCACCCACAAGACCTTTCTCCTGAGCCAGTCTTGAGGCCAGCTTCCTCCAGAATCGATCACTGAAGACTCCTAGAGAAAACCCCCTTTTTAAAAGATCACCTTTTCAGGGCAGTGGATCTTTTGTTACACAGTGTGGGTGCCTCCATGGTAACCAAGTGTCTTAAGAGACACAACATGTAGGGTTGGAAGAGCAGGTCACCAGCCGTGGGTAGCTAGTAGTGTTGCCCCATGTCCCATGGCGAACATGCAAGGATGAGACAGAGCCAGCCTCTGTGTACTGTCTGTTCGCAGGGAGCTGTTGTCCCCGAGCCAGACCGATGCCTTCCATTTATTTATGAAAAACGGACACAGTGGCGGGTAGAACCCAAGAGGTGAGGCTGGGGGACTGGGGAAGGCACAGAGCAATAGCTCCCTTCTGCCTTCACCCACCCAATGGACCCTTGCAATACTCCCGGTGGCCTCCTCCATCTCAGGGACGCTGGCTATGGCTGCCCGCCCTTTGGTGTGGAGGGAAGCCGGAGTGAGCAGAGCCCAGGCTAAGGCGCAGTCGTGTTGACCTTGCTGTGGGGACAGGCTGTCCATCACCCACTGCGCTTGCTGTGTGGGTATGGTTTGGCCAGAGAGATAAGAAAAGCCCTCTGACTTGGGCCCTTGCACAGTCTAAAGAGCAGAGGGAGCCATGGGAAAGTGCCCACTTTGCACTGCTCCCCACCCCCGCAGTCAGCTCCAGGCTTGGGAGACACCCAGAAACCAGCAGACATCACAACTATCCCCCAAATACCCCATGTTCTGTCTGCAGCAAGATCCTTGGCAAGGCAGGCAGCCGCCACTTCTCACCCTGCAGGACAGAAATCCCTGAATATTGGTTTAAGAAAAAGTCTTTGTGCAGCCTGTGACACAAGACCCCACTCGGGTCCCCTGCACAGGGGGCACCATTGGGGACGTGAGAGGCATGGCAGGGCACAGTGTGGGCCCACCTGGCCCCAAGTTTGGCCTTGGAGCCTCAATCTTGGGGCAGTGGGGTATGTTTAAGATGGAATGAGGTTTGGAAAGGGTGAACAGGGCCGAACTGTCTCCCTGTTTCACGCTAGGTTTGGAAGGAGTCTTCCACCTGTAGGGGGCAGAAGATCAAGGTGGACCTGGCCACAACCGGTCAGACCAAAGCTGCAATGGCAGGAACTGTAAAATCCATTCAGCTGCCCCAAGTCCCTGTGAGCTGGGGGTCCTGGCTGACTCCCAGCCAGAGGCTACCGTGTGTGTGGTGATATCCTGCCAACTCAGGCCACCACTATGCAATGTCTTTGATTCTGCGCATGTAATTGTGCAGGTCCGGGGGTGGAGTGGGCCGCGTGGTTCCGGTCACATCTGGACAACCCCAACCCAGGTCCTCTTCGTCCTCCTCATCCTCTTCGCCCGCAGGCACCGAGTCATAGGCCAGCTCCTCTGAGGGAAGAGTGGTGAAGGTCGTGAACTTGACCCTCTTGCGCTTGGAGGTGGGCGAGCTAGCAGGGTCCTCTGTCTGGTCCCTGGCCGAGCCCCCAGAGGAGCCGTCCCCACGGCCATGCACTTGGCTCTGGACGCTGGTCTGCGAACTGCCACTGCTGTGGTGATCACCATGGCAGCAGGCAGGCACGGTTTCCAGGGCGCTCCCTGCAGGAGGCGACAGCTCACCTTGCACCCGCAGTGGCTGCCCATTGCCCAGGAACACCCAGTGGTGCGAGTGGTCCATGCTGGTCTGGCCCTCGGGAGGGATGCGCTTGTGCCGGTATCGCAGCACGAACACAATGCAGTTGATGAGGAAGACAAGGATGGCGAGGCAGAAGACCCCCAGCAGTGCGTACATACCAATCTCTAGGTCCGTCAGCCCCCGGGGCATCTGCAGGAAGCCCGTGGGCAGCGGTAAGTAGTCCTCTGTGAGCGGCACTGGGCCAGAAGTGCCCAATCCAGGGATCTCACCAGCGGGGATGGCAGTGCCTGGTGGACCAGCTCCTCGGGACTCGTCCTCGCCCCCACCAGGCCCGGGCTGGCTGGGCCCTGGGTAGTCATATGTGGGATCCTCCTCATCCCGCCCAAAGTGTACTCGCAGGCCCACAGGAGTAATAGCCAGCACACTCTTACGCTTGGTTTTCTGGCAGCTCTCGGAGATGGTGAGCTCTGCACGAAGCAGATCTCCTGAGCCCTCTGCCTCAGCCACCACCAGTGGGAAAGCCTTGTCTTGGGTCACAGTGGCCACCCGTTCATCCAGGCTGCTCACCAAAAGCCCGTAGTCCCGGGGACTGTATAAAGAGAGCGGGGCTGTGGTTCCGTCACTGTAGGAGAGCCACAGACTCAGCAGAGCTTCCTGAAAGTGGAAAGGGGACAGAAGTCAGGGCCGGTCTTAGCATCTTCTCTGATAGGTACCAGCTCTGCCTGGCTCAGCACCTGAAATGCCAGGTTCTAGGTAGGACTTGAGACCACTTCTGAGGTACAATGTGAGGCCCCTTGCATTGTGGGGACCGGGAACACAGGGTAGGATTTTCAGGTCTCATCTGCCACCCTGAACATTCCCCCTCTTCTCTTGACCTGAAGGTAAGCTCCTGGCTGGGTTTCCCTCATCACCTATCACTGTCTGACCCTTGGCTAATGAAGCCAGAGAAAAAAAAGAGGAATCTGGATCAAAGATTAAGCGACAAGGGACCCTATGGCCTAACACCACCCATCATCTTTCCATCTCTATCCTATAGCTGATACCTATAATTCATAGGTATTGGTACACTACAGACTCAACCAGAAGAGGAACTCGGAGGAAGAGAGGAGAGCGCCCACTGAGAAGCCAATAGGAGACCCTTGACAGGGACATTGGAGTCCTGCCTGCCCCTGTAAAGGACTGGAGGATAAGGTGCAGAGCTCCTTATATATCTAAAGGCCTCATCTGAAGATGGATGGATGGCCAGGGTGGTCCAGGTCCCATTCCACACCTCACATGCTAGCTGGGAGTGGGGGTGGTTTCAGGGAGTCAGTTACCTGCTTGGGGAAGCTGAGGGTGGGCTGCACAGCTGTGGTCGCCAAGATGGTGTGGCTGCTCCCAGGGCTGGGTCGCAGGGACAAAGCGAGACTGGCTACCACCTGGGCCTGCAGCTGTGTGATACTGACCTTCTCCTCTGTCACTGTCAGTAGCGTCTCCCCCAGCACAGCCTCGGTCAGGGGGGACACAACCTATGATAGAACAAATGGTGGTGGGGGATACCTGGGAAGCAGCTGCCTTGCTCAGGGTCCCCACCCCCGGGGAGCTCCCAGCACTGCTGGGGAGAAGGGTGAGAGAGCACAGGACGCCTGCTCTCCCCTAGGTCTGTATAGGTCTGTAAGGAACATGGAGAGTCAGGGGCTCCCAGGGGCCAAGCAGAAATGCAGACACAGGTGAGAGAGGCACGCAGTGGTAACAGGAACTGGTGGTTGAGCTGTAGATCAGTTGTTTTATAAACAAAATACTTCTGTAAGCTGTGGTCATTTACAAGCTCCGGGACAGCTGATATCTACTTGGCCACCCCACTGTCAGAGCGGAAGGCAAGAGCTGAATTCTTAGACCACCCGTAGTTTCCTTCTAGTGACTCAGCAGCGTGATTTTCCCTCCATGCCTACAGACCCCGATTCTGTTCCAATGTCCCTCCCCCCAGAGGCTCTGAAGGCTGCTGAGGCTTGCCTGAGAACTTCACCAATAGGTGAAAAAAGAGCTTGGTCTTAGAAGGTGCAACCGCAGGGGGAGGAAAGGAAAGTCACTGCGGTGGCTTTCAGAAGTGAAGGTCCTGAGTTCACCTGAGTTCTCTACCTGTGTGGATAACCCAGGTTCCCAGGTCTACTACTTTGTGCCTGGACAGAGCCCTTTCCTACCTTAAAGGGGGTGGTGCCCGGCTCCAGTCCTGCCAGTGTGCTGCTGTCCACCAAGTGGGCCACTCGGGGGTCACCCACCCGCATGAAGTCACTGACCAGGTCAGTGACCTCCACCAGCCAGTCAGGGCCCAGCATGGTGACCACCTGGTCGGTGCCCTCGGATGATGTCGTGTGGAACTGGGTGAAGACCTGCAGGGTGGCATGCTGGTATTGCAGAGTGCAGCCTCGGCTGGCACTCTGTCTCCGTTCTTCTTCTTCCTCCTCCTCATCTTCGCTCTCCCGAGCTGACCTGGGGAATGCCAACATAAGGACTGGGGGAAGCACTCTCTGGCTCAGACACATCTCTCCCCTTGTAACTGAGCTGCACCTCTTTCTCTCTGCCGGTCTTTGCGGGTCCCCTCTGTGACTGTGTATGCAGCCAGCCATCCCAGCCTCTCTCACCTGGAGAGTTCCTTCTTTCGCCTTCCCAACCCATGGCTGCCAACAGCTGGTATCCCATCCATACAGTGACAATGCCCCTTCCTCAGCACTGAGCAGGCACATGACCCTGTGCTGAGCCTGAGACTCTAGCAAGGAGGGATCCTTGTCACAAGCTCGGCTGACATGTCATATGGTCATGTGTGGAACATGAATGATAAGGGATGACGTTTGACTTTTAACTGAGGAGACTTCAGAGAGTAGAGATGAAGTCAGTTTCTTCTTGGTGCCTTTTTTGAAAGGTGAGGCTTCACAGATCAGGCTAGCTCTCCCTTGAACTTCCTGATACTTCTGCCTCAACTCCCCCAACTGCTAGGATTGTGCAGGCATTCACTACCACACCTGGTTTTGTGTGGAGGGTTGAACCCAGGGCTTCATGCATGCTAAGCAAGCATTCTATTGCACTCTCATTGCTTAGACCAAAGAGAATGAAAGAGAGAGAGAGAGAGAGAGAGAGAGAGAGAGAGAGAGAGAGAGAGAAGTAGGGCATTAAGCAAAAGGGAACCTGGACTTAATGGCTTAAGGAAATCCTCAGCCTACACCATTGGAAAAGGATGCTAAAACCAGGAGATTTCCTGGCAGGGGGTATGCAGTAGAGAATAAGATTGCTAATGTTTTGTTAGAAGTAACCAACTAAGACAACCATTCACATGGAAGTCTCTTTTTTACCCGTGTTAACCAATTTAATCCTCACTGTTATCCAGTCACTACTGCCCATTTCATGGAGGAGAAAAAATGAGTCAGAGACGTTGAATAAGTAGTGTAAGATGCACTACTAGTAAACGACAAAACCAGGGTTTAAACCAAAGAGCTTCCTACAACCCCGGTACTCAGAGAAAGCAGCGTGGATACTGCTCTGGTTGGCAAAGCAGAGTCCCAGGCTGCGCCCCAGCCCCGAAGCAGAGGCTGCATGCTAGCAAAAGCCCCAGCAATGGAAGGGCGCATTCTGGCTGGAGGGGCTCTGCTACTGTTCCTGCTGTTGGAGCCACCACAGCTCTGAACGTGGACCAGCTCCCCCTTCTCTCCCTACTCCTCTCCATAGCCCTGGCTGCCCACAGAGGCCTGTTGGGCTCCACTTGGGAAGCTCCGAATGGGTGGGTGGAGCATGGTAAATAAACACGTACGTGGCCCACAAATGGAGCTTGTGTAGACCTACGCATTGTGGTGAATCTGTCCCTATGGACCCAGGAGTCTGCCCTCGGTGCCCAGCTGAGGCAGTGGATCTAGTATATGTGCTGCTATTTGTGTGGGTGTCCCTGGCTGGGGGACACAGGTGCAGTTACGTGCCACTGTGTTCAAGGGTGTGTCCAGTCCCCTGGAACCTATAGATCCCCAGCTGACCCCTGTCCTCTTGTCCTTTAAGACTTAGCTCAAGAATCAGCTTTTCCAGGAAGCCTGGCTTTATTTTTGGATAAAGAGGGACTCTCTCATTCACGCCCTTTCATTTCCTGCCCACAGAGTTTCCCACCATGCTCTGGGATGTCTTCCCACCCCGATGGACTGAGAACCTGGCAAATCACACTCTTTTCACATTTCAAATACCTGTCAGTGCCCAGTACACAGTGGCTGCTCAAAACAAGCATGCTGTTTCCACCACAGCCCACAGACTGTGTCCACCAAAGGCCTTATATGTGTGCAGATCAGAGTACTGTCCCATGTTTACACTACGTGCTGGGGCTGTACCTTCGGTCGGAAAGGATAGGCACCCTCCATCCCTTCACTTGGCTGAGGCGGGCATCCGAGAGCTCAATGTGCAGAGGTAGCTTGGGGACCCAGACTGTCATTTCCAGGGGGGCACTGAGGACATCGTAGCGGAAGGTGACTCTGGCGTTCATGGACCCTCGAGACTCCTTCCCACTCACAAACACATAGTCACAGCTGCTGGACACCTGGGGAAGGGCAGGAACATAAAGCATGGGTATGGCTTGCCTTCTAGGTCCTGCTGGGCAGTTCGGGGTACTTGGGTCTGACTACAGGGCCAGCAAGGCTGCTGGAGAGGAAGTGGAGAGGACTGCTAGGGAAGAGGCTTCCCGGGGGTGCTCTCTACCTCAGAATACCCAGGGCTCTGGGACTGTCTACCAGATGGTCTTCTGCACCCCGCAGTGGGTGTTTGACTAGGTAGAACGGAGAGCTGGAGTAAGGAACAGGTCCCTGCCTCCTCCATGCCACAGTGGCATAGCTTGCTAGGCGAGTGGGCAGCTTGTTAATTTCAAACGAAGGGCTGTTCCTGGCAGGTATGTAGGAGCGGGAATGGGAACAGAGAAGAAAATTTGGGATCAGAGAAGCCTGAGTGCAGATGGGTGGATGGTGGCCACTGATAATGTGTGTAGTGTTTATGCAAATGTCTGCCCACCAAGCTAGCTACACTATGCCCAGAGGCTCCCTCATGGAACCCACATGCCTACTGAGGATATGTTGCTGGAAGCAGTGCTCAATCCATCCCGGGGGGGGGGGGGCACCGCCAAGGCTTCAGGGTAGGTGATGGTGTCTGAGTGTGTTTTGGGTATCCATGCACACACCTGACACACCTTGAGTGGATCGCATGTATACACACACGCGCGCGCGCGCGCGCACACACACACACACACACACACACACGCGCACACACACACACACACACACACACCTGGACACTTCTGTTGGAATATACTTTGGGGCACCTCTGTGAGTCTTGGAGAAGTTACCATGTGACCGGTGAGCTGGCCACATCCCAAAGCCTCTGCAGTGATGGGGGTGCTGGAGTACACCTTATGGTGGTTTGAATGAGAGTGGCCCCTACAGGCTCATAGTCCCCAGTTGGTGGTGCTGCTTGGGAAGGATTAGGAGGTGTGGTCTTGCTGGAGGAGGCGTGTCGCCGAGGTGGGCTTTGAGGTGTTAAAAGGTCACACCCTTCCCTGTGTGCTCTCTCTGCCTCCCGCTTCGGGTCCTATGTAGGCTTTCAGCCACTGCCACGGCATCATGCCTGACTGCGTGTTGCCATACTTACAACTGTGGTGGCCACGGACTAACCTTCTGCAACCTTAGCCCCAAATTAAATGCTTTCTTTTATAAGTTTCCTTGGTTATTGTGTTTTGTCATGGCAATTAAAAACTAAGACATCTTCCAATAAACTTGTCTATAAGTTGCCTTGGCCATGGTATGTTAGCACAGCAATAGAACAGTAACTAAGAAATGTGTCTCATCTGTACATATGGATCCCTAGACCATGCCAAACCCTTAGCCTTTTTTTTTTTTTTTTTTTTTTGGATTTTCGAGACAGGGTTTCTCTGTAGTTTTGGAGCCTGTCCTAGAACTAGCTCTTGTAGACCAGGCTGGTCTCGAACTCACAGAGATCCGCCTGCCTCTGCCTCCCGAGTGCTGGGATTAAAGGTGTGCATCACCACCGCCCGGCTAACCCTTAGCCTTTTGCTCCTTGTATCTTCTTAGAGATGGGGTGGAGGGAAGCAGGAAATCTCTCCCATCCTGGAAGGTAGGGGATTCCAACCATTGGTTGGCTCAGCCTCCATTAAAAAAAAAAGCCACGTTTCACAGAGATGTATAGCAGTTCATCTAGAATCATCTGAGTCCTGCTGGCGTCTCAGCCCTCACAGGATGGGGAAATGTGCCTGAGAGAGCACTATATGTCGATTCTTGGGAGCAGGTGAATCTGGTCTCTGGAGAGCATCTGGGGGTAGGAGGGAGCCACAGTTGGGAGGGTCATGGGAGGTTGTAGGTACTGGGGCATGTCGGATTCTCTATTCCTGAAGCTGCCCTTCCTAGCTCCAGTTTCTTCACCTTGTTCCTCTCCTGCCTAGGATGCAGGGAAAATCTATCCACCTTTCTCCCTTATTTGAGTCTGTCTTATACAGAGCTCAATAGTGACCTGCTGGGTTGGAGTTACACTGTCAACACTACCCATCCCCTTTTGGGTACTGTCTTACTCTTTTACTCTGCCAGGACAGTCACTAGGTCTGGATGGAGTGGTCCTTTGGACTAGGAGAGGGAATCTGAGTCTACGTGGGGATACCCACACACATGGGACTGAGCTGGGGTGCTGCTTAGGATGGCAGAGAGGAGGGGCAGCTGCTGGTCCACAGCAGGGCAGAGGTATGTCATCTTCAAGGATGACCTGGAAGGGCTTGGGGGCTCTTCTCTCCCAAAGACCCACCTTGATGATGTCCTCATTGTCAGACTGGCACTCCACCAGGGCAGAAACATCAAGGACAAGGCCAGACACCTCGATGGCGATGACCTTGACGGGAATGGCCACAGTCCGGCCTGTCAGGATGGCAGTGTTGATGATCTCGGTGTCCTGCAGGGAGGCAGGGGCCGGAGGAGCTCTGCTGAGTGCGTTTCCCCAGAGACATGCCTGTCACCCACTGCTGCCACTCCTCAGAGATCCACTTCCTCTGGGGAAGTGCAAGGGTCTGCCTCTGCCCAATCCCATGCTCTCCTCAGATGTCTGTCAGCCCAGACAGACGGCTGCAGAAGCCGTCCCTGCTTTCCGGGAACATCCATCCCTTCCCCTGAGCCAAAGCTCTCAGGGTAACATCAACACACCCTCCTGGCTGGTCACAGTGCTCTGGATGGGCCATCAGCCCTCCATCCCCTCTCTAAACAAACCACCCACATTCCTCTCCATGTGCCTTCTCCTACAGGAGCTGGGTCCTTCTGGAGCGCACTCCTGTCTTCATCTTAGGTGGGATGAGTGCTTCCTTTCTGATGACTTCCAAAACCTTACGGGGGGACAACCACTTTCTATTAGAGCTCCCCTAAGCTCGCTTTCAGAGAGTTCTTCTATGGTGATTTCGCCAGGAAGAGCTGTGCCTGCCTCCTGTGGATGGGCACATACCCAGTTCCACAGGCATTGTCTCAGAAGTGAAGTGGTCCTTCCCTCCATCCACACGTACACGTGCTCAGCCCTGCCCAGTCCCACTACATACATGGGAATTCATGGGCCCGGCTGGGGTGCTTGGTCGAGGCCTGCTTACCATGGCCAGGGGCAGGATGGCTTGCACATCCCTCTGGATGACCGTCAGCTCCGTGACAACCCGCTCCAGGTCGGGCAGGGCACTGTGTCCTCGATAATCAATGTGCCACATGATCCTCCGCTTCACGGACTGGCTGGTGAAGTTCTCCATCTCGAAGTCCAGCTGCAAGATCTCCAGGGGTCCCTGACCCTCCCTGCAAGGCAGACAGGAGTGGGAGAGACGGAGGATGAAGGGCAGGGCTCTGCAGCCCTTAACTACTCCCCTCAGCCCACCAGAGTACCCCAACCCCAGAATCCCATTTCTGATTTTTGGAAATTGACTCCCACCAGCACTCTGTGACTCCATCTTTCTCCGTGGAGATTAGTTACCCCAGGCCCCAGGTGCCTGCTCTGCAGAAGTGAGACTCACCAGGGGGGAAGGGGTGTGCCCTGGGCCCAGGCCACATCCACAGTGGCTGTTGAATGCTTCGCCCCAGTCAGCAGCTCTGAGGTCACACGCCACTGGCCACTTCGAGACTTGGTGCCTAGGAGGGTCACACCCTTCTTGGCCTTCACCCTGGACCAAAAGTGAGGAAGAAAAGGCAGACTTTGAAGCAAAGCTTGCTCACTACCAGCCCTAGGTTGGAGCTGGGGACTGGGGAAGCAAGTGATCTGAATTACCATAGGATCTACATTTAACATTTGGGTAGGTGATCGGTTCTTAAGTTGCAACTTTGGACACTGTCATCCCTTCTGTCTTGGCCCTGGCCTATTCCTTACTTGGTCTCTCCAAACATTAGTAACACAATAACCTCTGTACACCCTCAGGTTTTCTCAGGAAGCCCCTTAGAATCAATCGCAGCTCAGAGAAGACACCTCCCCGACTTTTATAAAGACAGGAGCTTATGTAGCCCAAGCTAACCCTCAACTTTCTACGTAGTCATGGGTGACTCTGAACTTCTGAAAATTCTCCTTCCTCCACCTCTAGAGCCCTGGGGTTATGGGTGTGCAATATGTCACCAATTTATGGGTGAAACCCAGGCTTCATGCATACCAGGCGAGCACTAAGCTACTTCCCCAGCCCTAGAACCACATTCTTACTGACGTGAGACACAGCAGCCCTGAGTTCTTCTGGGACAAGAAAGAACAACATCCCTCCATCTTCACCGTGACAACGCTTCAGAAAGCAAAGAGGTGGGGGTCTCCTCTGAGTCTACAGCTCCAGCCCCGCCCATTGCTTTTTACCATGGTTTTGGAGGGGCTCACAGCCTCATCACCCCCCTCTGGATGTGCGTGAGATGCATCCCGCAGTAAACAAGCTTTGGCTGTGCCTTAATTACTGCTCCTAAAAGCGGGCTGATGAGCACCTCCCAACGTGGACGTGTTCTACTACTGTTCACGCAGCCCAGGATGGCTGGGAAAACTCATTCACACGTAAGTCTCCGTCACGGAATCAGGTAGACACTCCCTGGGAATCTGGGGGCTTTGTGGGTGTGTGCTCAGAGGAGGGAGTCTGCAGAGAAGCTGCAAGGCTGATGGGGAAATTCAGTTCCTAGACATGTGTGTTTGTGAAGAAGCATCTTGGTGGGACCTATCTAATGTCCTCAAAATCCCCGCCCTGACTCAAACCGTGACTTCCTACTAAAAAAATAGATGTCAAGTTAGGGTGGGATATGATCAAGGCATCTGTGAGTGGGTGTGCTCTGTGCAGAAAGGACCAAGCATCCTTCCCAGCCCTGATCCTGCCCGTCTACACCCATGCTTGTAAAAAGGCTCATATTCACACATGTTGCAATTTTTTTGCGGGGGGGGGGACACAGAGAAAGAGAAAGAAGTTGTGGTCATGAACTGGGGATATGGCTCAGCAGGTAGAGGCCTTGGTCACCAAGCCTGACTTGAGTTGGATCCCTGAATCCACATGATGGACATAGAAAACAAACTCCTGAGAGTTGCCCTCTAACTCCCACAAGAGGGCAATACCAGGCAAGCTTCACTCATACAAACAAAACAAAAAATATAATTTAAAAAAAGGAAATTGTGGTTGCGTTGGATATAAGGACAAACAGGCTTGGAGATGTAGCTGCTCTAGTGAGGTGAATCTGGAGGAGACAGGAGGAAGATGTTGAGGTTCTGAAGGGTACTTCACCTGGGCTAGGAAGCCCCTCTCATTCCCAGGTGTCTTACCTGAGTGTGAAATGCTCCACGCTGGGGCTGGCAGCGGAGGAGGAGTTGGGTGCCAGGTAGAGAAGGATGCTGAGTACCTCGCCAGGTCTGAGTGGCCTGTCGGGCAGGCGGATCATCAAGTTGCTGTCCAGCCTATGCTCCTGAACGGCCCTACGCGGCGGTGGCCGAAACAAGCTGATGCTGCCAATGCGTAGCAGCGGGTGCTGCGTGGGGGTTTCGCCACGCGTGGCTGCTCCCGGCCCGGGGCCGCGCCGCATGCTCCCGCAGCCGCCCGCTGCATCGGGAGCGTGCAGCGTATAGTAGAGTTCTACCTGCTGGCTCTCGGCTGTCGCCTCGGGCTCCAGGCCGTCGGGGGACTTGCGGCGGGCGCTGGGCGGCGCAGCCGGAGCCGGCGGTCCGAACCAGGCCAGGGGCAGTTCGGCGCGCACCAAGCAGGTGGCTAAGGCCCCGCCCAGGCGACACGAGCTCCGCACCTCACGTGCGTCCCGGAAGGCGTGCAGGCGGACACAGGGCAGCCGCTCGGTGACCCCGAAGTCGTCCCAGTCGCGACCGGCCACATAAAAAAGCACCTGTGCCACGGGCTGCGAGACGGGCACGCGGGCGCGCACGATGAAAGCGCGTACTTTCCAATTGACCGTCAGGCGATCGGGGATGTCCAGGGTGCTGGACGGCTGCAGAAGTTCCCGCACCACCACTTGGCTGGTGCTGAAGGGTCCCAGGGACACGTTGAGAACCGGCAGCTCCTTGGTCTGGAACACCACGAAGGGCTCTGAGCGCTGTAGGGAGCCGTTGATTGTGGCTGGCGGCAGGGGCCGCGCCTCTTTCAGGAAGAAGGCTAGTCGTGTGTGCGACAGGCGGTAGCTAACCGGTAGCACAGGGCTGGCTTGCGATCCTGGGGGGCTGGGACTGGCTGGGTGGGAGCGGCTGGCGGCTATGGACAGAAAGCACAGAGGTCCGGAATGATTAGAAGAGGCCTCTGGGGGACTTCATGGCACTATTCCTCCCACAACCCCCCACTAATTCACCCATCCCATCTCCCCAGAGAGCCTTCAGTGGGGTTGTATCTATTGGTGTCCTGAAAACCTGCAAAATAATGGCTTTCCATGTTGGCTCAGTGGGTAAAGGCACTTTCTGTCCAGTCTGACAACCTGCGTTGCATCTCCTGAATCCACATAGTGGAAGGAGAGAACTGACGTCGACAAGTTGTCCTCTGACCCACCGCGAGCTGTGGCATAAGCCCCGTCCCCACAACACTGCAAAATGAGTAAATGGTTGCTGCCTCACCTGCCAAAGTTCTGTGCACAGAGGATTACTGCTCATGCCCTGCTCCAGCACCAGAGGGTTGACTTAGTTGATCTTTGTCACTCTACACTGGGCTGGCATTTGGCACTTGGCACCTTTTAAAGTATTTGATCTCCACATCAATTTTAGGAGTGGCACTGTGATCTCTATACACTCTGTCACTTACAGCTTACAGATGAAGGATTGAAGGTGAAGGGCACCTGTCACCGTCAATCTCAGGAGAAGAGTCAAACCTGCCCTCCCAAATGGTGTAGGATCCCAGGAGCCCCTGTTATCTCAAGTCCCTTCGCCACACACTATGTAACCGGGGGACTTTGTCCTCCATCTCCTAAATCCTAAAGGGGCTCCTCCTCCCGAGCCATAAGAAAGCAAACAGGTTCTGACAATCTTGTCTTGATCACTGCTGTGTCCTGAGCTGCACTGCACTCCCCTCACCTGGGGACTTCCCCCCTTTCTCCTGGGCACAGATGGGACTTTCCCTGCTCAAGTCCTGGGCAAGGAAAGGCCTGTAGAGAAGGGTCTGTGGTTGGAAGTCCATTTTGCGTTTTCCTGTAAGCTTTCTGGACTTAGTCCTTCAACCCGAATCAAAGTGGTGCTGATGCCCAGCCAGGTGCTGGATGCTATTCGTGTTTGTGAATTACATTTTTTTAAATGGAATTTATGCAACAGGATGGAACTATGTTCAACATTAAAGATTCTCTCGCCTACTCTCACAGGAAAACCCCCAGCCCACCGGGCACCTTACTGAGAAATTCAATGTCTTTGACATGTGGCATCCAGGGCCCCTTGGCTCTAGTGCTCTTTCCTAGCCCCAGCTTGTAAAGGGGCACCTCACTGTCACCCCTCTACCTTACTGCCTCTCCTTGTTCATGTTCTGCTCTTCCCTCCAATTTTCTCCTTACACAAGCAGGCTGTAGCCTCAGTGCCACCTTCTCCAGGAATCCCTCTGGGATGCAGCCTCCACCCTGTGAAACTCCCTTCTCAGAGGGGTGCTCTCATCTCTGGCTTTATGGCCTTATCCTAGCCTCCAGGGAGCCTTTAGCCAGTCCAAGCACTCTGCAATGAATGACCACAGACCCTCCGTCCGTGTCAGGCAGTGGAGACCCCAGTCAGTACGTGGCATTCCATACAGTTCACCCATACCCCTGGTTTCATCAATGCCATTTAGACCTTGCCAGACTCAAAAACATACGTACTGATTCCTCACAAGGGCTGTGAAGTCCAAGTGCCCTGCTCTTGAGACTCCAGTGTCTCTAACCTACTTAAAACCTGCAGTTTAATTTCCCAATTCAAAGCTAAGGTAAGGCTAGGGAGGTGGCTCGGTGGCTCAAGTGCTTCCTATGCAGCAATGAAGGCCAGAGTTCGAATCCTCAGAACCCATGCGAATGCTCAGTGGGCAGACCAAGCCACCTTGGAATTCCAACTTCAGCTTTGGAAGGTGAGGATGGGACCCTCAGAGCAAGCTTAGTGAGACTAACCTTACAGGGGAGTTGTGGGTTTGACTGAGAGACCCCACCTCAGTGAATAGGTGGAAGAGTGATTAAGGTTGATTTCCACCATCAACCTTTGGCCTCTGCACACACGTGTACACTTGTGCAGGAGCAACTCTTACACATGTGCCTGTACAATGCAAACATGCATATACACACATGGATATCACACACACACACACACACATGAAAATGGACAAAGAAAAGCTAAGGTAACTAAATCTGATGTGCTGGCTATAATCCCTGCACATAGGAAGTTGAGGCAGGAGGATGGCAGGTTTGAGGTTAGCTTGGGCTACGTAGGGACACCAACTCAAAACAAACTGGAAAACAAAACCCGAAAGCAATGGGCCCTTGCTAGGTCCCAGAATCCATTGTGGTATGAGGGGCACTTGATCTCACCTGTCTTCTCTCCAGCAGCCCACAGGGGTACCATTGGTCCCTGGAAGCCAAGGCTATCTCAACCAGGCTGCCCTCCTCTGCTCTCAGGGCTCCAACAGGCCTTAGCTCTTCATCCCTGCTGCTCCCTACAAGTCCTGGAAAGCACTGGAATGGAGGAGAGCTACTTGCTAAGATGGGCTCTGGGAGGTGTTTGTGGCAATAGAGAGAGCCTTTCTGCCTGGCCTGGTCCCCTCACAGAGCAGCTTCAGGGCTGACCTCTAAGCCTTGTGGAAGCAAGGTGTCAGGACACCAGCCAGCCAGCTCTGAGAGCAGCAGAAGGCCAGTGAGCTGATACTGGCTCAGATTCTCGGCCAAGGCTTCACCCTGCACAAATGGCTTCCTACTTCTAGCCTGTTGCCACCTAAAATCACAAAGGTGACATCAGCCGCAGTCCTCACAGGGATCCTGAGAGCCGGAAGAGCAGCCTCAGGAGAGTGGGGGCTCTGCAGACTGTGGCTGAGGTGGAGTTGCACCGTGTTTGCCCTCTGGCTTGGAGTAGCAGCAACAGTCAGTGGGCTGTGTTCTGGATGCAGACAGGGTGAGCCAGGCAGTGTGGGAGGTCAAAACCCTGACCTGGCCCTGCCCTCGCCAACAGTCCTGTGAGCCTCCTGGAGGCTGCTAAGTGGCACTTCGCCCCATTTGCCCCTTTTACTCTCTTCATGGCTGACCATCTGGAGCCTTTGGAGGCAGCCTGGGAGTGGAGGCCACCCAAAGGGCACTGGACTCTAATGGAAGTAAAGGAAGAGATGGGGACAGCCCCTCTGTCTCCTGGGGTAAGTCCAGCCTGGCAGAGTCAAACTATCAAATCTTCCAAATCACCTTCTGTGTCCCATGAATCTGAGGCACCTTTTGGGGCCTGCCTGGGGAGGGGGGTTGCAGGGCAGAGCTGCCAGGGGCCCTGGGCTTGCATGGGCTGTTCACTGGAGCCCTCTCCTCTGATAGCACTCTTTCTGCCTCTTACAGACATTTGTGTAACAATTTGTCCTGAGATCAAAACATTCCATCCTGCAGGGGAGCTCCTTAAGCAGGGAGGTAAACAACTTTAAAACAACCAGCTTCAAGAACTCCCTGAAACTGACCAGATTCTCTAGGTCCATCCTAGACACAGTAAACAATAAAACAATAAAAGTTGAGAGTCCCTCTTAGAGGGGGGGGGGAAAGCTGTGCTGCTAAGACTCAGACAAGCTGATCTGTCAAAGATTCAAAAGAGCTACATAGTCTCAGACCAGAGCAGCTGCCTGGGAGAAGTTGGGACCCGCCAGCTGCCACAGAGCTGCCCTGAGAGGTTTAGACCAGACTCACCCAGAAAGGCCACTCTCCAACCTGCAGAGCTGCCTGCAGGCTGTGCACCTGCCCCAGGTTCCCAGCCCGGTGAGTCGCCACCCATGCTGGGGTGAGCTCTGGTAATGCAGCTGCCTTTGAGTCATTCCTGATCCTATAAGTAACCCCTCACCCATATTCCTGTAAGTAACTCCAATAATAGCCACTAGTTCACCAAGTTGGACTCTGATGTTATCTATACGTTGGTCTGTCATGGGATCCCTGTGTGGGGTTGAGAGAAAGTTTGTCAGAAAGTTTGTCACACAGCACCCATCTTTGGTCAGGGATATCTTTCCTGAGTGACTGTCAAATGAGCTCCACCTCTGCAGACATCCTAGGCTCTTCCCAGCTTCCTTTCTCTCCTCCCCTTCTTTGAAGGTGGGGTCTCATGTAGCCCTTGATAGCCTCAAACTTGCTATGTAGCAGAAGATGACCTGAACTCGACCTTCCTGCCTCTACTTCAGGACTGCTGGGATTGCAGCAGACTTTTTTTTTTTTGGTAGTGAGCATTGAATCCAAGGCTTCCTGCATGCTAAGCAGATGCTCTACCAATGGCGTTACATCCCAAGCACAGAAAACTAGAGATCCTTTCTCGATTTAGTTCCCTCATAGGACTGCCACTCAACTGACTTGGTGGACTGTGCAGGAAGCTGTGGTTTCTCCTGTCCACCAGAACTTTTCTCCCCCAGGACAATGGCAACAACAAGTGTCCTGTATTACTCAAGCACTTAGGACATGGCCGACACACAGTAGACCCTCAGCCAATGTTCACTGAGAGGATGAATTTCTCTGAGTGGTAATTTTCTCCTTGGTGAAGCCTCCAGAGGAGCCTGGATGGGTCCCGGATGGGGGAGGCTTCTGACTCTGGCTCTTAGTGGCTCTTAGCCTCTTTCCCTGACCTTATAGATAAGGACACTAAGCTTCTGAAAGGGAGTGCGTGTCCTAAGCAAACAGCCAGCATTCGAGCTGATCAGAGCACCGCCCCTTTTCCTGTTTGTGGCATGGTGACCCACAGCAGCCCCTGTCACCCGCATCCCCCACCCCGCAAGAGAGCCTCTGAGTCACTGGATCCTGCTGGTTGTCCTCTGTAGTGGAAGAGGGTAGGTCTCTGCATTGGATCCTGTGTCTTCAGTCGAAAGGAAGCTGCCTGGCCTCTAGAGGCTCTGGTTTCCTTTGGGAAATAGGGGAGGCGCTGGACATTTTCTTGGGTGGCTGCAAAGTACAGGAAATAGGGCTGATGGAGTCGGTAGAGGTCACTCAGAGGCCATGGTTTCAGAGCTAGTGAACATGTGCCTCCTGAGTGTAAGTGCTGACACTGACACACACACACACACACACTGACACACACACACACACTGACACACACACACACACACAC